GCCCCTTCACCTCCCCACTACTACTACCCCCCCCCCCCCCCCCTCCGTATTCTCCGCACCCGTTACCCCCTTCACCCTGCCCCCTCCCCCCTTCCCGCAGTTTGATCGGCGTGGGTTTTTTCTTCCGTTCCGTTTTCGGTCTCGTTTTCAACAATGGCATCATTTTTTTTGCGTCGGTCAGCGGAGAGAGAAAGATGCCAGGACAAGCATGTCTCCCCTCCACGGCGGTTTCTCACGATATATTGATGTTTGGTGTTTGGATGTGATTAGGCTGCTTTGCTCTGTGGTGCCTTCCGTGCCAGCAGCAGCAGACGCATGCTTGGCTCGAGAACCGCCACCCCGAGTGCTGCCCGGAGTGGTCGGTGGGTACGCTCATGTGCCTGCTTCCGTACGTCGGCCAGCTCGCCACCATGTGCTGCGTCGGTTTCGACCGGAACACGATCAAGGAGAAGTACGGCATCGGCTCGGGCACGTTTGACTGCTGCGACTGCCTCGCCACTGTCTTCTGCACCTGCTGCGCTGCCATCCAGCAGGCGCGTGAGATCCAGTCGCGCGGTGACGTCCCGCGGCCGAAGACCCGCTCCTCGTCGCGCAAGGGCAAGGGCCGCGGCGGCAAGGGCCGCGGTGGCAAGGGCAGCAGCAAGGGCCGTGCCAAGGGCAAGTCGTCCCGCTCGCGCTCGCGTCGCTGAGCTGGTTCATCGTGATCGCGCTTGAGCGCCGGCCGCTCTTCTTCCAGAGGGGCTCGCGCCGCCACACGATAAATGACCAACCTCTAGCACAGTGCAGTCTACAGTGGGCGTTTACTCACATGCCAGCTTGTTGTCGAACGAGGAGAGAGCGATACCAAAGGCCTGCAGCGCAGTCATCGGATAGCGATAGTCCATGGTGAACTCGTGGTCGCCGATGCGGCCAAACTGCATGATGATGTACGACGGATCCTCCGGGTGGACAATCTGGAAGTTCTTGACGGAAGCGTGCGAGACACGGCGGTTAAAGTTGAGGACGTATGACTGCGATTCTTCGTTCCACACCGGGGACTTGTTGGTGAGACAGAGCATCTCGTCGCGCTCGTTGGCCTTGTGCTTGGAGATGAGGCCGAGGCCCTGTGAGTCGGGGCGCCAGACGTGCGCCTTGCCATCCATGCGCATGGCTGGAATGAGGACAGTCATCTTGCGCGGGCCCTTGAAGCCAAGAATGTTGGACTCGTAGAGGACGGCGGCGAGTTCGCAGCGGATGTCTTCGCCGGCCGAGGCCTTGTCGGGCGCCTCGCCGTGGTCGTAAAAGGTGAACGCGGTGCCGATAAAGTTGGAGCGGAGCTTGGCGACGTAGTTGACCGAGTCGCGCGAGAGGTCTTCTGGGTCGAGCGAGACGAGGTAGTTGGAGGAGCGCGACTTTTTGCGCTTGCGCGCCGCAAGCAGGAACGTGTCGGTGCTCTGCTCGTACAGTACGTACGTCGGAAACATGCGCTTCTTCCCGCTCTTGTTCCGCTGGATGTAGCACTGCACCACCTGGTGCTTGGGCGCAGGCCGGTGGACAAACGCCCGTGTGTCCGAGAGATCCAGGCCCGAATGCTCGTCGACCTCGTCAGGCTCGTACGTGTCGTCGAGCCCGGCGTTCATCATCATCTGCTCGGTTGACGTCAGCGGCCGCCCGTCTCCATCGTACTCTGCGTCGCTGTGCTGGCCGCGCTGGCTGTAGCCGTGCTGGCCGGCCGAAGCGAGGGCGTGGACTCCAGTGTGCGCCACAGGCACCTGCGAGCTACCACTGCCGCCGCCGTATCCGCCCCCGGCCGACGCGCCAGCCTCGTCGAACCCGGTCTGGAAGATCGAGGTCTGCTGCGCCGATCTCCCGCGGCCGCCGGCATCGCCGCCGTACTCGTCGCCGCCTGCACCGCCTCCACCGGCGCCGCCCGAGTAGCCCTGACTGCCGCCAGCGGTGAAAAAGTTCGAGGCGCGAGCCGATTTGCCGCCAAACGATGCTTTGGGCGTGGACATAGAGAGGCCCGACGCCCATCGCGACTTGTCGACGGCGTTTTCTGGCCCAGCCGGGCCCGACAGCATGGTCGCCGCCACCGATGATGAGGGATTAACAAGCGCAACGCCAGCGCCAGTCATCTGCGCCCGCCGCGTCGCTTCGCGCTGCCGCAGCAGTTCCAGCCGGGCCTGCCGCGACTGAGTCACGGGCGTGCTGTGGGCAGAGAAGGGAGGGAGGAGGAGGGGGGGGGGGGGGTGAGTGTGCGTATGGGGTTATATCCATACATATGCATGTGTGTGCATGTGTGTGCATGTGTTTGTGTCGTCGTACAGAATGCCCAGCGAGCCGTCCTTCACCACTGTGGCAGTGGCATTGGCGCCAGCCGTGTCCCACCCTCCACCGTAGGCACCGGCAGGCACCGCCGCAAACTCATCGTCCGACGAGTGAAAGTCCATAGTGAAGAAGGAAATACGCAAAGTCTTCCGCCTTGCCCAACCACGCCCTCCTCTACACTCGTGGCTCGGCTGCGTGGAGTGTTCGTCCCGTTCTCCCCCCCTCCCCATTCCCCCCCTACCCTGCCTTCCCGCCTGCGGAACCCAGTGTTCGATCAATTGTTCGATCAATTATTCGTTCGTTCATAATCGTTCGTTCGTTCGTTCATAATCATTCGTTCATTCGTTCGTTCGTGAGCCCGATCGATCGTTCATAATCGTTCGTTCATAATGATCGTTCTTTCATAATCGTTCGTTCGTTCTTTCATAATCGTTCGTTCGTTCGTTCATAATCATTCGTTCATTCGTTCGTTCGTGAGCCCGATCGATCGTTCATTCATCAGCCTGATGACACTCTCCATCACTTAGACCGACCAGTGCTGCAAGCGGCAGAAGGTACACACCCTCCGAGATCGGCGAGCTGTAGAGCTGGTGGTGGATGGTAGGAGTGGATCGGAAACGTGGTTGGGCCTGGTAGGCCCTGATCATCACACAAGTATGCAGGCACACCGACTCGGCCCGCAAGCGTTACCACGTCCCACCTCACCACAGCCCAACCCGCCACCGCCACCACCACTCGCCGAGGGCATGACTCGCCGCCGGCAACGCAGACGACGCGGGCCGGGCGAGTCCGAACCGGCAGAAGTGGCGAGCGGAGAAGCCGGCGAGCAGGGCGGGCGACTCGGGAGGCCACGACGGCGGGGGTGGCCGAGACCAGCCACGGCCAGGCGAGCAGGACGGGCGCACAGAGGCCGAAAGAGAGGCGGCGGGAAGGCATCGGCACGAGCCAAGCGTACTGGCCGGATTGACTCGCCGTATGCTCGGAGTGCCGCAGCTGGGCAGCGGTCCACCGGCGGGTGGGCGAGAGCGGGCCCGTTGCGGACAGGCGGCGTTTCTGCCGGGAGTGTCCTCGTTGGGCGCCCGCCGGCGATTGATGCTGGCGCGCTGGCGGCGCTACGGAAGAAGGCACAGAGCCATACTCTCGAGGTGATGACACCAGAGCGTGCCCGTCCGGCCACGGTGGACTCCCCGCGGCGGACGGCCTCTCCGGCACGGAGCGCACGGAGCGCAAGCGCAGGTGGATCCCGGGCGTCGTCACCCGGAACTGGAGCGAGTGCGATGACAAGCAATTGCTCCGAGCTTGGCTCGCGTGCGGGCGCTAGCTCGGCCGCAAACGAAACAGACGGTGACGAGGACCTGCTGCTGGCGCAACTGCCTGCGCCGCAGCCGGTGCCCGACGCATTTGACCCGCGGTCGAGATCCAACACTACCGAAGATAGGCTCATGCTGCTGCAGATGCAGCAGGCCAAAAAGGCCAAGCTGTATCAGCGCAAGATGCGCCGTAGGGCCAAGCGCCGCAGTTCGGTTGACTCGGCCATCTCACACCAGTCGACTGCAGAGTCAACGGCCACACTCTCGACCATCGCAGAATCGACCCGGGCCGGCGGCCTGCCCCGCGGTTCGGACGTGACTCCGTCGTCACACTCTGTGGGCACCACCGCCTGCTCTACCGCCCACCACAACGCCTCGAATTCGAGCTCGAGCTCGAGCTCGAGTTCGAGATCGAGCCTGTCCTCGTCGCGCCTATCGGCCATCGAGTCGTACTCGGACTCGGCGGTCTCGGGCGTCAAGGGTGCATCGGCGTCGACCATGGCTGTCTCGGTCGTCTCGCACCACAGCAGCTCTGAGAGCAGCGACCACGCCCCGCAGGCCGAGGCTGATCTGACCAAGACCGACCGCTACGGCCAAGTCAGCTTTTCCATCAAAGCCAACGGCCGCGACACGGCCGCGACCGACTCGGCCCTCTCGACCGTCTTTGAGTCGGTCGACGCCAAGGCTGTCGAGTCGTACTCGGACTCGATGATCTCTGATCCGGGCGATGCCGGCGCCGCGTCGGCCTCGGCCTCGGGTATTCCTGTTGTCCCCAACCTCCGCATCGAGCCGTCATCAACAGCGACTCCCAAAGGCGGGACGCCAAATCCGCTTGGTGCCCAGCGCTCGCCACGCATGGCCTCACCGCCCGCGCGCACCGCAGCGACAAACTCGGCGCACACCACGTCGACCAAGTCGGAAACGTCCGAAACGGCGTCGGCGCTGGCGTCGGCCCGCCTCTCGCGCCCGACCTCGTTTTCTAACCGACAGGAAACAATCAAGAAGCAGCGCGAAGAGGCCTTTTTCCGAAATCAAGTCCTCTTCCGGAAGCAGTCCAAGCGGACCATCGGCGTCTCGTCGCTCCGGCACCGGTCGTTCACCGTCGGCGCCAACGACGCGCCTGGCGGCTTTTCGTCCGAGGCCGAGGCACAGGCTGCCGCCCGCAAGATCCGTGAGTCGCAGAAGAGTCTCAAAAGTCTTAAGGGTGTCGATGACGCCACCGTCGCCGCTTCCATCAAGCGCAATTCGGCCGTCCACAAGCGGCTCCGTCGCTGGCAGCGGACCTCGTTCGCCCGCATCCCGCTGGGCGTCTCAGACCAGCTCGCCAAGCATCGCTCGCGCAAGAAGCTCATCGACCGTCAGGCCGATCGTGTCGCCGTCGAGCTCCCGCACTTTGTTGCCCTCGCCAACCTCTCCGCTGCCCAGCCCATCCTCGTCGACCTCACCAAGGCTTACGCCTCGCAGCTCGGCGAGAAGCACCCCATCACCCTCCAAGCTCGCGCCCGCCTCGATGCCGTCGCTGATGCTCTCCGATGATATACGTCAGGCTCATAGTTGTCGTCATCCTGGTTTGGGACGGCGATCACGCTAGAGGGCAATGTAAACTGTTGGCGCCTGCATACCCGCACCGGCACCGCCCTCCCCACTCACTGGAAATCCGCACTCTTCACTCCCATTCCAAGAACCAATGTGCGACTGTGTTTCGGGAGTGTGGGATGACTTTATGGAGACGGTACGTCCACCCCGAGTAGTCCATCCATCCCTACATCCGCATGCTTGCTCTACCAGTGTCTCGCCCCCCATATTATCCTTGTCGTGTTCTCCTTGGTCCTCAGCCCGGTGCGAGCCTCCTCCCCCCCCCCCCCTCTGCCCGTCGCTACTCGGCCACAGCGTTACGCAACGTCACTCGTGTTCAAGGCCTGCACGCACCTACCCATCCCACACCCACATTGCCTCGACCAATATCTCCCGCACTTCCGTCTTGGCTGTGACTTGATGGTGTGGGTGCGGGGAAGGGGGTGCGGAAGGCGACGGAAGGAGGTGCTGGGGGGGGCCGAGGTCGCATGCCCGCGGTTGATTGCGCGCCACGCGCGCCACGGCATGGTCATGGTGGGCATGGACTTCCTACTGGGCAAGGCGATGGGGGGGTTGGGGAGGGTGGTGGGAGAAGGGAGAGAGAGAGAGTGTGTGTGTGTGTGTGTGTGTGTGTGAGTGAGAGAGAGAGAAGCACGGTTTTTGCGCTGTTGTAGGGGATAACGGACAACTCATGATAGAGTCGTCGATGCCGGGCTGTGTGGCTGGGTGCGGAGGATGGGGGAGGATAGGGTCGGCAGATTGTTGGATGCATATGCTGCTGTGCCATTGTGGGCCCTATTCTGGTCCTCATTGGTATCATTGTCCTTGTCTCGGCACTGAAGGATACCCGCGGGGACAAGATCAAGAAGTACAATGCGGCGGTGGACAAGTGGAACTCGCAGTCACGTGACGAGCTACTTGCGGCACAGTTTACCAACACCAACTCGGGTGCCTCGGGCGGGGCTGAGGTCCTCGGTGCAACGACTGCCGTCGACGTGCTGAGGGACGACGACAAGGACCTCAAGTCGTACGAGCCGCTCAAGTATCGGACGGCAGGCGGGTTCTCGTTCGCGTCAGCCACGCTCGGCACGTCGGACATTGTGTACACAGCTGACATCTCTGCGTCGCAGAACGGCGGGCCGGCGTCAACCATGTCTGTCGGCCTCACCTTTGGCCACTACATTTCGCGCGGCCAGGGCTCACTCTCGCGTTCGTGCCAGTTGACGGCAACATCAACGTCGACCGGCTCTTCACGCCCGCTGTGTTCGCAGGTGTGCTCGGATGATGGCGGGCAGTGGGACTCGACGACGTCGACTTGCCGGTTCTACCTCCGCGCGTCGGACATGTGCCTCAAGGTCACGCTCTCGGGCAGCTCGTGGACCCCGGCATCGGTGCCGGGCTCAGGCTTTGGATGCCTGTACAAAAACCAGGGTGGAACCAAGGGCGACTGGTCCATCTCGTCGTACACCTCGGTCAGCGCCGGTGCCACCATCACGCCGAGCACCGTCCAGCTCACCATCCGCTCGAGCGACGATCCGTACATTCTGGCGTCCGATCTGACCAACGGCTCCTATGACTTTGGCCTCACACGCGCACAGAAGATTGTCATCGGCATTGTGCTCATCGTCATCGGCTGCGTGTGGATGTGCTGCGTCTGCGGTGGCGTCTACGCCATCTACATGTGCTTCATGGGCAACAACCGCTCCGGCCGCTTCAACAACCACAAGGGCGGGGCCTACGGCAACAACAACAACAACAACAACGGCGGCGGCGCTTATAACGGTGGTGGCGGCGGGTACAACCACGGCCCGGCTCCGGCCCAGCCTGTTGTCGCCCACCCTGCCCCACCCCCGCCGTCCAACTACAACGCCCCGCCGCCGTCCAACTACAACGCCCCGCCGCCGTCCAACTACAACGCCCCGCCGCCGGGCAACCCCTACGGCGGCTCCGCCGCTCCGCCGTACTCGGCCGCCGTCGGCGCCCCGCCGCCGGCATACGGTGGTGCGCCTCCGTCATACGCCGGCGCCCCGCCGCCCAATCCGTACGCTCCGCCGCCAGGCGGCAATCCTTACCAGCAGAAGAACCCGTACTCGTAGTCGCCTCGATCAGGTCACCTCGACCAGGACCGCGATTCGGCTGATAAACATGCACACACCTCGCCTCATGCCGCAGCAGAGAGCTCCCAGCTGATAGTGCGGAGAAATGTGCTTCTAGCTGCCAATTTCGGCAGGGCCGCGTTGCTCTTTCTCAGGATAACCAGCAAAAAAGCGGGTGAGGCGACCTTCACTACATTTGCCGAGCCGGCTCTGCATAGCAACCTCTGGTGTGGCTGGTTCCAGCCGAGCCAAGACCAGAGAGGTGCGCTGCTTAGTATGCACTACACACACTTGCCAGTCTCTTTGAGCAAAGTTCCAAGGCATGCGCCGTTCATGTCAACGGGCCCCGGTGCTGATAGCGACCGGGACGGGCCAGTCCGCAACGTGGCCTAAAAAACCGCCAGGGCGTCAACACCAGAGCAGCCGACCACGAAGAGTGGCACCCCTCTCCGCACGACGACGTTCGGGAACAACACGACCACTTGCCCGATCTGGACGGTGAGGACCATGCTTGCGGCATTCCCGGTGCGCAAGCACGTTTCGGCGGCGGCCACCTCGGGACCCAAGGGGGTCTCCAAGGCCGCGTCCTGTCCCGCCCCGGCCCCACACCCACCCACCGAATGTTCGGGACGGGTCCCGTCCGAGGCGCTTCCCGAAACTACGACCTTTTTTGCGAGCCACCCGGGCGCTGCGACCAAGTGCGTTGCTAGCCGCCCTGCTCCCGTCCGCCCTGCCTCGCAGGCCAAGTCTGACCGCAAGCGCAAGCGCACGCGCCAGACAGGCGCCTCGTCATCACTGCTTTTTGGCACCCCGTCGGCCTCGGCTGGCCCGTCGTGCGGGCCAAGTGGTCAACTGCACCTCGTCACCCGCACTGACCCGCACCTCCCGTCAGCCACCACCGCTGCCGCCACCTCGTCGGGCTCGCTCGTCCTCGGGCAGGGCGGGTCAGCCGGAGTGGTGACCTCGGACGAGGACGCTGTGCTGGCGCTGCCGACCGAGCCTGTTGGCTCGTCGCAGCTCTCGGGCCTCGCTCTTGACCCGTCTTCGGGCGCGGCGGCGCTGGCGGCCGCGGCAACGGCCGCCGCTGCCCAAGTGGCGAGCGACGTCGCCGACGACAATGCCCGGCCGTCGAAGAGGCACAAGCGCCTGCTTGCGGTCTCACCTGAGACCGGCGCAGTGTCGGGCCTCGCTGTCCGCCGGCGGGTCCGCCGCCGCAAGCGGATCGTTGTGGCCCGCCCAACCTTTTCCACCCGCTCGATCTCAAGCACCATCGAGGCCGCGCAGCCGTGTGCAGACGACGAGCTTCCGGAGGATGCAAGCCCAGGCTTGCCAACCGAGGCCAATCAAGCCGAAGCGTGCGCCACCGCCACGCCACCGACGCAAGTTGTCGATGAGGTGACGACACCCGAGCCCGAGGCCGATAGACCGCGCCTTTATCGTGGCTCGCTCTCGTCTCCGCTTGACATTGCAATCTCGACGGGCTCGTCCGGCGGGGCGGCGTCGATGCCGTCGATGCGCGCATCGCAAGTGCCGATTGGCTCGGCATTTGCGAGCTTTGCGCGCGCGGCGGCCAAGCAGGCGACCGTTCTCGCGCCGCAGCCATCAGTCTGCATCCCGCCCGGCCCGCTTCGTGCGCCGCTCCACACCGAGACCCCGCTCTCATCGGTCCAAGTTGTTCATGGCTCATGGTTTGAGACGACCAACTCGCTCATGGACCGGTTGGCGGCGCTCGAGGCCGAAAACACGGTTCTCCGTGAGTACGTCTCGCGTATGCATGCCCACAGCGGCGTGGCTCCGTAATGATTTATCTTTCCCATCAATCTTCTTCGCCTGCTTCTGTTGTGCTGCGCGCTGCGCGCATGATCAGCTCGTACACAGTGAGCGTAAATGCCGTACCGACGAACATGCGCGAGGCATTAGCGTAGAGGCCCTTGGCAAACACGCCGAGGCCGTCAGTGTGGATGGCGTGGAGGAGGCCAAAGCCGACTGCTCCGTTGTATCCGAGCTGCCCGCGCTGGACCCGGGTGGTGAGGACCGCGACCGGGTTAGCCACGACGACCGCGAGCATGGCTGCGCCGGCGCCGGCGGCTACCCGCTCCGAGCCCTCGAGCACGTCGAGCGGCGGGTCGAGCGCCATGGTGTGGCACAACACCTCATAGGCCGGAAACAGAACGCCGGCGGCCACCGACGACCGCACCATCGACAGCGACGCACCGCGGAGCAGACCGAGCGTACCGACGTCGCGCAAGACCTCGCGGACTGTGGTGACTGAGGTCTTGAGTGCACCCGGTGCGTCGCATGCCTGCAGTCGCACCTTGCACGCGTCAAACGGCGCAATGACCAGGCCCTCGGCCGCGCCCGCCAGCAGACCGGCCGCCGTTAGGCGCACCATCGGCAACCACGAGCTCTCGGCTTCGCCCTGGCCGTCGCCGTCGGTCCGTGCCGGCACCAGAGCCTCTTTGACCGTCACGTTGACCAGGGCGCGAGTGGCCATGACAGGAAGCACACCTGCCAGCGCCGGCATCAGCCCCCGCCACGGTGCCATCCACCCATCGTTGCGGATGAGGGCGGAGATGGCGGGGCGGACGCGCCGGAGCGGGTAGGCCGGGAAGCGGGCAGAGAGCAGCTGGGCCCGCGTCGCTACCGTGTCGAGCGGATGTGTGACAAACCTCTCACCGAGAGCCACCCCCACGGCAGCACAGCCCAGGAGCCATGCCGGATACTCCGGATTCGTCCGCGGAGTGTCGCCATGCAGTGGCAGGACGCCCGGAATGGCCTTGTCCGTCGCCGGCCGCGGCCGAGCAGTGCCTCCGGAGCGGCCTGTCCTGGGCGCGGCGCCACTTGCTGCGACTTGTCCCGCCTGTCCCTCTGTCGGCGCCATGTCTTCCGCCTTGTTCTTGCGGATGTGGTGTGGCTGGTATGGGTGCGGGTCGAGTGTACCTGTGGTGCAGCGCTGCCCCAAGCGAGTGACGTGTCGGCCGAGTAAGCCGGAGCCGGCTTGCCCGACAGGAACGTGAGCCGGAGGGCCAGAGGATGGTGGAGGGCTGTATGCCGTGCATCGCCACATCAACCGCATTGCCAACCTTTGGCCCATACTGAACCCTCCCTCTCCCCCGGGAAAAAGTTCTTTGCAAAGTTAACCCCCGTCTCAGGACAAAAAAAAAAAAAAAAAAAAAAAA